TGCTCAAAGCAATCCTCCAGACAGCTGTCCCACTCTCTAAAGGCCTCCACCACCTCCGGCCGCGGCGGCATAGTCCGGGCCAGGTACATCGGCCGTGCTGAAACTGCAATAGCGAGGAGATGCGAGGCCATCTGGGGGTGGTCGAGCAGGGGGAGCCACGGCAATGGCGCCTGCAACGCGCGAAGCCGCTTCCGTAATCGGGCCCCCTCCCAATCCTCCTCCCCAATAGGCACGCCCACCACAGTGAGACCCTCCTCCTCCCGCTGCATCCCCAAAGGCAATGCCCGCTCCATATCCCCACCTCCACGCTCCCAAAACCTGCACTTGTGCGCCTGCACTTCCAGCCCCACCCACTCCAACCTCTCCCGCAGCACCCCAAAAGCCTCCAGAATCCTAGCCGCTGGTCCCAGGATGTAGGTATCGTCTGCATAGCTCAAGAAAAGTAGGTCCCTGAACTCTCTAGTCACCGTCCCCAGCACCTGCTGCTGCGTGAAAGCGAAAAGAAAAGGGCCGAGCGGGTCCCCCTGTCGCGATCCTCGTGCCGACTCAAGACTCTGTACGAAAGGGCCCGCTCGGAGGTACAGGTCGCTAGGTGTCCCATAGAAGACACGCAAGAATGGGATCATTCCTGAGAAAGGCGACTCCTTCAGCCCCTCGAACATCGCGTGGCGATGAAACGAATTGAAGGCGTTCGCGACATCTATCTGCAGCGCACACCAGTCGGGGTGAGTGGCCAGCGCTGACCGGAAAGAATGAGTAAGAATCTCCACCCCGGCCCTGGTGCCCACTCCCAGCTGGTTACACGGCAGAAAATAAGAAGCCATCACAGGGCGAAGCGAGATGCAGAGAGCTCGAGCGAGGATACGCGGAAGCACCTCCCCGATCGCCACCGGCCGGACGTCACCGTTGGGTTTGGAAAGCCCGACTAGGTTGGATGCGGCGAGCCAGGGCCGAGCTCGCTCGGGGACCTGTCCCGCCACCCATTGGTTGAACACTTCCAGCAGGTGGGAGAGGCAGGAAGGTTCCGTGAGGAAAGTGTCGCGCAGATGCTCTGTGACCCATCCCGATGGCCCTGCAGCTGAGGCGCGAGCAGCTGTGTGGATAGCTCTAGCCAGGATGTCGGTCGTGAGTGGAGGCCGCTGAGGAGCGTCGACAGTAAACTCACGAACCCACGGTGGTACCTCGCCACTGCTAGCTGGGTGCTTCCCTCGCAGCGACTGCACCATAGCCTCAGACGGTCGAGCCAACTCTCCTGCTGTGAGGCAAGCCAAACCACGGCTCCACTCTCCCACTTTACACCGAGATCGGCACCGTGACAGGCGGATGGCCTCCGGGTCCTGGTCAGAGCACGTGTAGGCAAGTGGGCGAACTGCTGGCCGTGCCGCCGCCATGGCAGCGTCGAACAACTCCCGCCACCTCCCCTCCCAGAAGGCCCCCAGCCGCTCTATGATCAGCGCCTTCTGACCTATGCCTGGCTTGGGAGGCACGGCTAGGATGAGGCGCGGAAACGCCAGGAGTAGGAGGGTAGCAGCTTCATCTCCCGGTCGGCTCTTCAGCCGCTTCAAGATGCAACAGAGTGCGTCTAAGACCCCGGACCGGGCCCGCTGCGGGATCCGGCGCACTGTCCTCCCTCCAACCGCCTCCACACAGAAAAATGCCTCCCACTCCCATGACTTAACCCCTGCCCACGCCTCGTCCCCAAATTCCCGCGGCGTCGGTCGCTCCTGTGTGTCGGTCTCCACCAGAGACGGGATCGAGCCAAGTGCCTGCGCGCGTCTCTCCGCCTCAGCCGCCCGGCATACCCTCATGTGGTTCGCAGCGGCCCCTCTCGTGGCGAACGTGTGGAAACACGTGTCACACGGGAAACGGGGGCATGGGGAAGGCGGACTGGGTGGTTCTCCGTCCGCCTCTGACTCCTCCGCAGTCGCCATGGGGGTATCAAACTCCAAAAGTCGGCACCACTCCTCCAACTGCTGTTCCCGGTCGTCCATCGATCCCCCCCCTGCCTGCTGCGTACCCTGGGGTGCCCCGGGCACCCCCGGCTGCCCTCCTGTCTGCTGCACTTCCTGGGGTGCCCCGGGCACCCCCGGCTGCCCCCCTGCCTGCTGCTCTCCCTGGGGTGCTCCGGCCACCCCCGGCTCCCCTCCTGTCTGCGGCGCTCCCTGGGGTGCCCCGGGCACCCTCGGCTCCCCTCCTGCCTGCTGCACTCCCTGGGGTGCCCCGGGCACCCTCGGCTCCCCTCCTGCCTGCTGCACTCCCTGGGGTGCCCCGGGCACCCTCGGCTCCCCTCCTGCCTGCTGCACTCCCTGGGGTGCCCCGGGCACCCTCGGCTCCCCTCCTGCCTGCTGCACTCCCTGGGGTGCCCCGGGCACCCTCGGCTCCCCTCCTGCCTGCTGCACTCCCTGGGGTGCCCCGGGCACCCTCGGCTCCCCTCCTGCCTGCTGCACTCCCTGGGGTGCCCCGGGCACCCTCGGCTCCCCTCCTGCCTGCTGCACTCCCTGGGGTGCCCCGGGCACCCTCGGCTCCCCTCCTGCCTGCTGCACTCCCTGGAGTGCCCCGGGCACCCTCGGCTCCCCTCCTGCCTGCTGCGCTCCCTGGGGTGCTCCGGGCACCTCCGGCTGCCCCCCTGCCTGCTGCGCTCCCTGGGGTGCTCCGGGCGCTCTATGGGGTCCCCCTGTCACCCCCGGCTGCCCCCCTGGCTGCTGCACTCCCCGGGGTGCCCTAGTCCTCTCCGCCCGACCACCGGTCTGCCACCCTCCCTGGGTTGCCTCTGTCGCCTCCGGCACCTCCCCGGCCTGCAGCACCCCCTGAGGCGCCCTTGTCGACCCCTGCTGACCCCCTGGCTGCTGCTCGCCCTGGGATGCTCCTTGCAACTTGGCTGCGTGTCGTCTCCCTCTTCGGCCCCGAGCTCGCGACCTTTTCGCTTGGCCTGCGCCGCCCGGGCTAGCGACCCCCTGCTGAACCCGCGCCTGTTGCTCTTGCAACCCACTCATCTGCTCTTCAAGTTGCATGCTTCTACGCTCTTGGGGCCGGTTCCTTTCTCGACACCCTTGCTGCTCCCCTTCTTGCGGCTGAGACTGATTCTCCGTTTGACACCCCTCCTGTACGCTTCCCTGCCGCTCTCCCCCCCCCTCCTCCTGTGGCTCCTCCATCTCCACCTCCAACACCTGCGGCCACTCAGCTTGCAGCCCAAGCTGTCTCTCGACCTGCTGCTCCGTTACCATTCCTATCTCTATCTCCATGTCCACTTCCGACTCCTGCTCCCCCCCAGCCTGCGGGTCTTCCTTCCCCTCTGCCGGCAGCTCTTGCTGCCTCGTTGCCTGCGGCTCCTGCTGCCCTCCAGCCTGCAGCTCTTGCTGCCTTCCAGCCGGCAGCTCCTTTTGCCCCCCCATCTCCATCACCATCACCGCCTCCGAAGCCTGCTGCCCCTCGACCTGCCGGTCCTGATCCCACCCAGCCTGCGACTCCTGCTGCCCCCCAGCCGGCCCCTCTTGCTGCCTCCCAGCCCGCAGCTCCTGCCGCCTCCAGGTCGGCCCCTCTTGCTGCCCTCCAGCCTGCAGCTCTTTCTGCAGCTCTTACAGAAAGTGATTTTGGAAGCTATACTGAGGCCCAGGGCCTCAGATTCACTTTTAGGGACGTTTAAGCATCAGGGTCCCTGTGAGAAAGGCTGGAAATCAGTGTTCCATTCGAAAAAAGGTCTGAATTTTCAGGGTGTACTAAAAGCAAACCCTGATTTTGACCCTCATGGTAACTCACGAAGTATGACTAATGCGAAATTCGAACCGGAAACCTCACCCTTCAATAGCGAATTCACAAACAACTGAGACAGTTCAGGCCGTCAACTTGCGGAGAAATAGTTTAAAAGTACCAATCTCGGATTCGGAATGTGCATTCAGTGTACACTTCGATAAAAGGCTGGAAAATCAGTCTCTCTAAAATTTGAACACTGGAAAATCAGTGTAGGTACAAAAATTTACCCTGAAAATCAGGAATTTCAGGGTTTTTTTCCTGATATCTGAGGGCCTGCTGAGGCCTCCTAGAACCCGCAACTCACACGGCTATGATTCAAGGAGTGCACTCGCTGAGCAGAAACTCCCTGTACAGACATTCTCCGTGCACCGATGTGCCCTTGCCGTTCATTCCACTCACCCCATCACTGCCCTGCACTCCACCTTTCAGTGGACCCCAGAACCCCCCCCTCCCCCTCCCCCTCCCCCTGCCCCACCCTCTGAGAGTGCCCTTGCCTGCTGCAGGACTGAAGTCGGCCCCACCAGGCCCACCCATGGCGGCCAGGTCCACACACGACTGCACTCGCTGGCAGCTCATCATGCCCACTCCACCCGGTAACACACCGCGATCTGCATGACCCGCCGCCCCAGCACTAGCAGCAGCAGGCAGTGCGGCGGCACCACTGCTTGCATCGCCCCCCACCGCCCCTCGCCCCTGCTGCCGTCCACCTGACTGGGGCGAGACACCCAGGGCCAAGGGGCTCTTCCTTTGGGCAATGGGCAACTGCCACGTCATCCCCCCACCGCCCACACTGGCACGGGCGTTGAGTCGCCGTGCCCACCCACCAGCGTTGTCGCTGTGTGTGCTGGCAGAGGGCGAGCGCGGAGACAGTGGCCCTCTCACGGCCAGTGGGGCTGCACTGCGGGCACCCATGGCACCCACCACATCACCATCCGCACCGGGACTCGCCATGCCCTCCTCCTCGCCCTTGCCCTCGCCTTCCTCCCCACCTGTCCTCAGCAGCCCCAGGCGCCTGGCCAAGCGGAAGCTTCCGCGCAGGCTGCCTCCGGGGCTGGGCGCGGCTGCTGCTGCGGGGCTGGGCGCGTCACTGGCGGGCATCATGGTGAAGAAGCGCCGTGACCCGTGCTCGCTGCCCCCCGCCCCGCCCTCCTTCCCTGCCCCGCCACTCCCCAACAAGCCAAAGAAGCGCCGTGACCCGTGCTGGCTGCTGCTGCCCTCCTGCTGCTCGCCGTCCCTCGCCCTCATGGCACTCAAGAACCGCCGCGACCCGTGAAGGCTGCCGCCATGCACACTGCCACCACCCTCTCCTCCCTTCTCCCCCTCGCCTGACCTCATAAGCCCAAAGAACCGCCGCGACCCATGATGGCTGCCCCCGCCCTCCACACTCTGGCCATCGCCCTCCGGACTGACCGCCTTCCCCTTCCCCTTCCCCACCCTCCTCCCTCCTCCACGCACAGCACCCCATGTAGCAGCAGCAGCATGGGGCGCGGCGTGGTGGTGAGGGGGGTGGGGGTGGGGGTGGTGGTCGGGGTGGTGGTGCAGGCGGTGCATGTCGTGGTGGCGAGTGACCAGAGCAGAGAAGTCAACCAGGTCAAACAAAGGCACGGGGGGGATGGCAGCGGAGGAGGTTGCGGGAGGCAGGCCCGAGGGTTGATGGTTAAGGGAGGTGCTCGTTGCTCCCTGCTGCTGCTGCTCCTGGCGCTGCTTCCCCAGCGCAGCAGCGATTCCAGAGCCACCTCGCACGCGCTCGTCGCTCTCCACTCCCGCCATGACATGCACTGTGCTGTGCGGAACCACGTGCTGCTGGGCCATGACAATGCTGTACACGGCCATGAGCTGCACTGACAACTGCTGGTGGCCCAGCGCGTCTAGGCTTGCTAGCAGCGCTGACAAAGACAGCATGGCCGAATGGGGGTACTGCTGCTGACCCCCGTAATCGCTCCGCACCTCCACAGTCCCACCTGCTTCGCTCACAGCCTCTAGTGACGTGCCCGGTGCTGACGTGGCAGTCGCCAGGTGGCGCACGAGCTGGCGGAACTCTGACTCGCTGAGCTCCAGTGACAGCAGGGCAACGCACGCGCGCTGAAGCTTCCTGGTAGCTGCGTACAGGCGGAAGCCTCGCAGCGACCCCTCCAGCTGCACGCTTCCCCGTACACGCCCCTCTGCTGCCGCGCCCGCCCCTCCCTGCACCTGTCCGTTCCGTAACACCCCCTCTTCCTCTTGCTCCACCTGTCTCCCCGCCACCCGCCCTTCCCTCTCCCCTCTCTCATCGTCCCTCTCCCTGTCCTTCTCTCCTGTCTTCCCTGTCCCCTCGTCCCGAGTTTCTGATGTGGCCCCTGTCGTTCTCTCCTTCACACTCGCCTGCCCTGCGCCCGCCTCGAGCGCTGCACCTGGGTTGTGTGCACGGGCCTGGGAAGCACCAGTCGCCACCATAACGTGTCCACTGCCGTCCCCTGCAACGCCTACAGCCCCTGCATCGCCCTCGCCACCACCCGCTGCAGTGCCGCCCAGCCACGGGTGCAGCAGCGCCTGGGCGGCTGTAGGGCGCTTGCAGGGGTCGGGCTCCAACACAGCTTGCAAGAATGACTGCGCTGCTGGCGAGGTTTCCGGGGGTAATGTTGGAACTATCCCCTTCTGCTCAGGGGTGGATTGGGAAAAAAATGGAGGAAGTGGGTAGTTTTTGAGGTGCTTAATGCAGCAATGAAGGTGCGGCGAAGTGTGAAGGTGCTTGCTTGCGTCAAAATCCCCAGTAAACAAAAACAATGAGAAGGAGAGAACCAGCACACGCAGTGCTTGTGAAGCTTTATGGGCTCGAGTAGTGGGTTCTGCCGACCAGCAGGCCCAGCATCCGTCACACACATATCTCTATGCACGCTCACATGCACATGCAGATTCACACGCACATGCGCATGCACATGAAACATGCATAATACATGCCTGTGTGCACAAGACCCCCTCTCAGCCAATACACCCCACCTGCCTACCAACCGCCCCACATGCCAAGCTCCTCAGTGCCCCTCCCCTGCGCGCCCCTCACCTGCATGGCCTGCCATGTGGCATTGCTGTGCACGGTGGCGCGCGTGAGGCCACTGGGGGGCGGCCCTGTGAGCAGCACAGCCACCACAGCCCCCGCACTCCACACGTCTGCCTGCGCGCCGTACGCATGGCGCCACACCTCAGGTGCCGCGTAGAACGCCGTGCCCATGAAGTCGCGCAGCACCACCCTGTCCTCCCCGCCCTGCACTGCCTCGCCCCCACTGCTGCCGCTGGTGGGGGCGGGCGCGGGAGCGGGGTGGAAGAGCGCAGCGCTGCCGAAGTCCACGAGCTTGATGGTGAGCGCGTGCACATCCGACAGTAGTATGTTCTCCGGCTTCTGACAGGCGGAGGGGGTGGAGAGGACGGGACCGCAGGGGAGGGAACGTGCAGCGAGGGTAGGTGGTGTGAGCAGCAGTGGGGAGGGGCAGAAGCGTGGGGCTGACCCGCAAGTGCGATTGCATGACCGCCCCTCCGCCCCGCCATAGGCACATGGCCCACCGCACATGGCCCACCGCACATGGCCCACCGCACATGGCCCACCGCACATGGCCCACCGCACATGGCCCACCGCACATGGCCCACCGCACATGGCCCACCGCACATGGCCCACCGCACATGGCCCACCGCACATGGCCCACCGCACATGGCCCACCGCACATGGCCCACCGCACATGGCCCACCGCACATGGCCCACCGCACATGGCCCACCGCACATGGCCCACCGCACATGGCCCACCGCACATGGCCCACCGCACATGGCCCACCGCACATGGCCCACCGCACATGGCCCACCGCACATGGCCCACCGCACATGGCCCACCGCACATGGCCCACCGCACATGGCCCACCGCACATGGCCCACCGCACATGGCCCACCGCACATGGCCCACCGCACATGGCCCACCGCACATGGCCCACCGCACATGGCCCACCGCACCACACTTCCTTCCCCCCCTCGTCTCCATTTCAGCCTGTCATCCACTGAATCCACCACCCGTGATTTTAGCATGGCAGCAAGCAAGATACCCCCAGCCCAGATGTCCAGGTGCCCACTCGCCCCATTCCCTCATGCATGACACGACACGACACTGAAGCCCATGCCCACCCAGCACGCCCCCCTGCAACGCGCTCACCAGGTCGCGGTGGGTGACGCCCCGCGCATGGCACAGCGCCACTGCCTGCAGCAGCTGCCGCGCTGATGGGTGGGGGGAGGGGTGGGGAAGGGGACAAAGGGGCATGAGGCGGCTGAGGGTTATGGGAGAGTACGGCGGAACGGGGGAGGTTAGGGAGGATGGGGGAGAGGAAAAAGGGAAATTGAAGGACGAACGCGTAGCTCCAATGAGAGAGTGGCTGTGCTTGGCATTATCAATCGCGCCCATGAACCTATGTGCATGGCATGCTCTCATGTGCTTCCCCCACGCACCGATGTGAGCAGCATCAGCCTCGGTGAAGGAGGCGCGCGCTGCGAGCGCCATGAAGAGGTCTCCGCCCTGGGCCTTGTCCGTCACTATGTGCAGGTGGCGGCTGTCCTCGTGCGTGGCCAGGAGGCGGATGATGGGCGGCGCCACTGGTGCTGGTGCTGCCCACAGCTGCACAAGGGGGCGACGAGTTGGGCACCGCAAGGGAGGAAGATGGGTGTGGGGGGAGAGAGGTGTGAGAGGGAAGGATGAGGGAGGAGATGAGGGGCAGGTGAGGGGGCGTGAAATTGCATGGCAGTGGTGGGGAAGGAGGTTGCTGTTGAGAGGCGAGTGGCACTTGGAATGGGAGGGCGGCAGTGGGTGAGGCAGCACACCAGCAACGCAAGGAGATGGCAGAAGGGACAGTGGATGGCCGGAGCGCGAGGCGGAGAGAGGGATGAGGTGAGATGACATGGGGAAGGGCGGAGGCTCACCCGCTGCAGGGCCTCGATCTCGATGGTCTGACGGCGCCATGGCATGGCATCATGCAGGTGCGGCGCAGGTACGAGGGGGAGGAAGGGCGACAGGAAGGGGAGAACCGGAAGGAATGCGTTGCTTAGGGAGGTGGAAGACGACAGGGGGCAGAGGGAGAGGCAAGGGTCAGCAATGAAAGGAGGAACTGCTGCGTGCACGAGGCAGGTGCGGGTGTGATGGGTGTGATGGGTGAGGCGCCGGTGAGGCGCAGGTGAGGCACAGGTGAGGCGCAAATAGAAGGGGGGGAGGCACAGGGAAGAAGAGGGGAGCACAGAAGGGATAGAAAGACAAAATGAGTTGTTTGGGCAGCGGGGAGGAGTTAAGGATTTGAGGGAGCAGCGATGAAGTGAAGAGCACATGTGAAAGGAGCACGTGTGAAAGGAGCACGTGTGTGTGCAGCAAGCAGACACGGGCACGTGCTGGTGCCGTGGGTGCCATGGGCGGGAGGGGAGCAGCACTGACGCGGCTGATGTAGGCAGGGCGTGCATTGAGAACCTTCTTGGAACACGCCTTCACCGCCACCACCGCCCCCGTTGCCCGCTCCACTGCCTCCCTGCTCCCCCGCACACACACATGGGTGCGTGGTGATGGACCAGGGGCGAGACGCGCAAGGGGCGGGGGGCAAGTGAAACGGGAAGGGGAGAGGGAGGGTGAGGAGGGGCGAAAGGGAAGGAAGGTTTTCGTGAAAGCAGGGAAATCGACGACGGGCACAGGGCAGGTGGGGAGAAAAGCAGCGGCGGGGGAAAATGGGGGACGGGGGTGTGCAGGCCGGGGGTTGGGGAAAGCAGAGGCGGGGGTGAAATGCAGTGGAGCAAGCGGGGCGCACACCTGACGGAGGCCATGCGGCCGCACCCCAGAGTGTTGCCCAGCACCTTGTAGTGAGCTTCCAGGGAACCTTCCGGGCCCACCTTGGTCGCTGACGTCAGCATGGGGTCCTTGACGTGCTTGTGAGGGGGAAGCGATGCTGACGTGGCGGCATGGAGTGATGACGAGGACGGCTCCACTGCCGTGCTGGACAGGCAGCAACCCATGGCGATTGGCGGCAGCTGTGACAATAGCGGGGGGCCGGGTGGCGCGGGAGGAGTGTCGCGGCGTTCACCAACAGGGTCGCTGCTTGGCGCTAGCACGCTGCGCTGAGCGCTCCCGGCGTGCGCAGACGCGGGCGGAGGTGGCCACTTGGACGATGACCCGCGCCGCTCGCATTCATGCCGCGCTGCTTGCCCTCACAGCGGCGGCGCGACGCGCGGGCGTGCGCACGGCGCTCTTACGACCGGCGCGCTTGGGTCGGGGATGGCGAGCGGCGAGACCCGCTGCGAGTGTGTGCGAACTGAAAGCTGTCGCCTTTTCAGCTGACTCAAAATCCTGTGCGCAGAACGCGGCGAGCTGTCGCCACGAGCGCGTCTTTACGCGCCGAGCGCGCCGCTGGAACGACAAGACGCTCTGCCAGTGAGGGCTTTTGTCGCCCGCATTCCCCGCTGCTTCGGTGTCAGTCGACTGGGCGTCACTCGCTTTGTGCCAGCAGGAGTGGCGAGGTCAGGTAGCGACTATTGCATTGCGATGCTGCTGATAGCACTGCTCCGCAGGAAGCGGGATGTGATATGAGCGCGAGAGTGAGTGACTGCATGGGCGTCAGCGCTGTAGTACTTGGAACAGGCGCGCCGTGGCACAACAATAGAAATATCAACTCGTGTATTTGCGATGGCGCGTTTCAAAAACAGTTGTGCGGCGGTGGGGGAAATCGTGACGTGCGGGAGTCGACGTGGCACGATTCCGTTGAGTCGGAACCACGTGCGGCTGACTCGAAATGTTTGCGCGAATCGAGCCCAGCCATGCGAGGTGCCGTCCGATATTTTAGTTACACAAGTTGGTCGAACTGTAGCTAAGTGGAGAGGTGTAGTGACGGCAAAACGATGTACTTCTGTAACGAGCCCAGCGAAACACGACGACAAGAGCTCGACGAAATCAGTTCGCTCTTAGCAGTAGCACCGGTTACGTCTCATGAATTCGCATGAGCGAGTAGCACCCAGACCCCACCAAAACAAACCTTTTTTTTTTCGAGCACACGTCGTAGTCTCTCGACGAAGTGCAATAGAAAAGCCACTCTTGAGAGGGTGCAGGGCAGCGCGTCGCAACTGCGATGCTCTGAGCCATCGCTAATTTATTCACGCTGCTCTCCGTCCGTTTTCAGTCCTCGTTTTTGCCTCGCCCTGCACGGTGTTGTTATGCTTGTTATGACACACTGACAGCGCCACTATCGCCGTCGCTCTCGCCGTCGCTCTCGCCGTCGCGATCGCCCTTCAGCGGTCGCCGCCATGCTAAAGGACAAGCGCGCCGCCTTCCTGCGGCAGCAGGAGCGCGTGCAGGCGCGCACCGTCGTCGACCATGCCGCCGCCACAGCCGCCAGGCGCCAAGCCGCCCCTTCCTCCGCCGTCGCTGCGCCGGCGAGCACCGCTGGCGCGGGGGAAGTTGCGGGGAGCGGAAAGGGCATCGCGGTGGGGTTTCAGGGGCTGCAGGCGGAGAACTGGCTGGCGGACGCGGGGAAGTACGAGGCGGTGCTGCGCGTGCGACAGCTGCCGCTGGGGCAGAAGATCAAGAAGGTCATCGACCTGCTCTTCCGGGTCAGTGCGCCGCCCCCGCTGCTGCCGCTGTCAGTGCGCAAGCAGTTGTCAGCGCGCAAGCAGGGAGGGTGGGCAGGCCCGGCATGGTGGAACTAGCGCCACGCCCTTTCTGCTTGCACTTAATCCCCATCCCCGCCCTACCCTCCCCTCACCACCCTTCCCTCCCCTCCCCTCACCATCCTCCCCTCCCCTCCCCTCGCCAACCTTCCCTCGATTCCCCTCTCCTCGCCGTCTCTCCCCTCCGCTCCAATCCCCGCCCTCCCTTCCCCTCACTCCCCTCGCTCCCCGCCCTTCCCAAGCTCGTCGCCCCGCACCATGCGATGGACAGTTCAATCCTCTCTGAAACACCAGTGACTCGCTGCATCCTCTCTCCCTGCCGTGCCCTTCCCCTCCCACCCAGCCCAACCCCCCACCTCCCCCTCACTCCCGTCCATGCCCTGCCGTCCCCCTGCCGCGTGCCCTGCCCTCCCCCCCCCATGCGGTGGCAACAGGAGAGGCAGGGGCTGACAGCGGAGCAGGTGGAGGCGGTGACGATGGTGGACCTCACCACCAGCCGCGAGCTGCAGGCCAGCCTGCGCGCCAACCCCAAGGTCACTGTGCACGGCAACACCTACATCTACAAGGTGCCACCCCCTGCTGCCCCACGCCGCTGCTTCTTCCTTTCTTCATTTTTTTCTCCTCCCGTCCCCCCGGTTTCTTTGTTCACCTTACTGTTGTTTTCAAATTGGAAAACTTTTGTGTCACGTCTCTGCTGTCGTCTCTTACATCCCTCGCTGTAGCATCCACCTTGTTGCTCCCTCTGCCATCCACCGTCGCCCGACTGTGCCCATCCGACCGTCCCCCAACCCTTCCACGCCTCCCTCATCCCCACCCACTTTCTGTCTTCCTCTGCCTCCTCCCGCGCCTCTTCCTCGCTCTCCTTACCCACCAAACGGACGGCACATGCGGCAGGCGAAGCATGATCTGGCAGGGCGGGACGACCTGCTGAGGCTGATCCGCGAGCACAAGGATGGCATCCCCATGGCGGACGTGCGTGACGCCTACAGCGGCGTGGCGCAGCACGTGCAGGAGCTGCGGGCGGCGGGGCAGGCGTGGGTGCTGTTCAACGCGGACAGCGGCGACGAGGTGCTGTTCCCCAACGACCCGCGCATCGCCATCAAGGTGGACGCCGACATCCGCGCTCTCTTCCGCCGCATCGACCTGCCGCGCGACCTCACGGACCTGGAGAAGGAGCTGCAGCGCTGCGGCCAGACCCCCGCCATGCCCGCCGTGCGCCGCCTGCAGGCGCTCGAGGGCGCCATGACCGCCCAGGTGAGGGGGGAGAGAGGGGAAAGGGGGATGTGGGGGGTTGGGGGGTGTTGGTTGGGTGGTGCGTGGAGAGGGTTGGTGTGATGTGAGGCTGTGTGGACGTGCAGGCATGAGGCAGTAGCATGCCGTGCTTGCTGTGCCCGCAGGCCTTGCAGTGTGGCTGGCCGCGATGGTGAAGTGGGAGTTGGTTGAGGTGATGGGAGGAGGGAGCAGGGAAGTTGGGGGAATGTGGCATGGGAGATCTGCTGTCTAGAGCACTGGCTGAACGTAGTGCTGGTGTGGGGGTTTTGCATGCGTTGGCTGTGCAAGTGAGAAGCTTCCTCCATGTCACTCCGCTTGTTTCCGCCCTTCCAGACCCAAAAGCCCAAGGCGAAGAGGAAGCGGGAGTCGAAGCGCACCAAGTACACCAACAACCATCTGCCAGAACTCTTTGCTAACACACCCATGTGATCTCTCTTGCTCTCTTCCGTTGGCCTCATCGTATTGAAGCTTACTCTACTAGCCCAAAGGCTTCATGGCGGGCCATGGTGTAGGCATTAGTTATGGCACCTACGGTATCTGAGTGTTCCTAATCCAAGTGTTCCTCCCTTGTACATATCTAAAGGAACTGTCTTCTATTATATTCATTTTTGTAGTTGAGGTTATGTTAGCTTTGTGATTGGAATTGTCCACTCCTTGTCTGCTAACGCACACAAAATCTTCCGCAATCAGCGAAATGTAACATGCCATTCTTCGCCCGTTACCCTACACTTTCGCCACTTAGTATCTCACTGACACACCTGTCGCCTCGCCTTCGAGGGCTTTCCTGACAGGCGGGAACGATCTGCCACATGCCAACATGCATCGCACAGGTTTTCGCGGGCTAAGTTGGTGGTATGCCACGCCCTTGGTGCCGTTTTCAACCGTCCATGCCTGTGCCCGATTTCAGGGTTGCATATGCCATGTCCCTCCCATTCCCCACAAAGCTTCATTCATGTGTGGGTCACCTTCAAATCTGCGATTGTTGGCATAGCCTTTCTCCTGCTCCTCAGTCCCGCTTCCCAACAAAATTGGTTTCCATTTGTGTCCCACTGCGAATCCGTAGTCACCTCACCGATATCGTAGACACAACTTTAGGGTGTTTGACCAGGAATCTAGATCTCGAAGTGCTTAGCTCGGAAAATGGTGAGCTACATTTACTTGCCGTTTCGCCGCAGTAGTCCTTCAGGAGCATCTCTGCAGAATCTGAATGTTCTGTCATGTCCCCCGTATATGCAGGCTCTCCCTGGTCAGACAACACCTGAAGGTTGCCCCAGCTTCAAGCTGATTCTTGTCGGTGATGGCGGTACAGGTACGCGTCTCTTTTTACACAGTTTATTTATGCGAAGTCTAGGCACGAGCGTTAATTCGTTTTTTTTTTACTTTCCTTCTGTCTTTCTTTTCCGATTGTTTCAGGAAAGACGACCTTTGTGAAGCGTCACTTAACGGGTGAATTTGAGAAGCGCTATGAACGTAAGTTGAAGGTTGTCATGGATTCGGATTTTGCGTTACTGTCTGGATCTCATATCAGCGTTAACAGTCACACCGTTGTTCATGCCGCAGCCACTATCGGTGTGGAAGTCCACCCCCTTGATTTCTACACCAACTGCGGTCGGATTCGCTTCTACTGCTGGGACACAGCAGGTCAAGAGAAGTTCGGCGGTCTTCGTGACGGTTACTAGTAAGCTCTTCCACGATTGTCGACACCTTTCTCCCCTGTTTAAGTCTGCTACGCTAGTTCACTCCACCGAAGTTCGTTGTCACCGTGTAGTCCATAGCATAGTGTTGAACGAGCAGGAATCGGGTCGGTTGTAGCTTGGGAGCAGATCGGTGCGATTGTTATGTCGGGGTGTTGATTTTTGGCAGTACGGTCAAGCTTTAGAAGCTAGTAGAGCGAGTGCGGAGAATGAGCCGATCGGGATAACACATTATAGTACTCAACTGCTCGTGCGTTGACGTAGCCCGTCTCGTTGCGCTCCTCCCTTTTTTCCGGCCATTTTCAGTCGAAAGGCGACCTCAAGCTGACCCTTTTATACTTTCCTTCGCATTTCAGTATCCACGGTCAATGTGCGATCATCATGTTTGACGTGACATCGCGGCTGACATACAAGAACGTCCCTACATGGCACAGAGATCTGTGCAGGTAAGCTCGGAGCTTGTTGGTCGCGCTACGAACGAAAGAAACATTGAAGACACGCTGCTTACTTTTTTTTCCCATACCTCTTTCCCAGGGTGTGCGAAAACATCCCCATCGTTCTCTGTGGAAACAAGGTTGACGTGAAGAACCGTCAGGTGAAAGCCAAGCAGGTCACTTTCCATCGCAAGAAGAATCTGCAGTACTACGAGATTTCTGCCAAGAGCAACTACAACTTCGAGAAGCCGTACTTGTACCTTGCCAGGAAGCTTGCTGGGTAAGTTAATCAATTGTTTTTACTATTTAAAGTAGTGCGCTTCCTGCTTACTCCTGCTTACTTACTCCTGCTTTTCTGCTTTCAGGGATCCTAATCTTCACTTCGTGGAGTCGCCTGCCCTTGCACCACCTGAGGTCGCGATCGACCTGGAACAGCAGGCCAAGTAAGTCCAGTACAATGTCAATTACGAAGAGCAACAATTGTGAAAGTCGATCATTCATTTCCTGCGTATTTTGTATTCTGTGCAGGTACGAGCAAGAGCTTGCCGCCGCTGCTGCTCAGCCACTTCCAGATGAGGATGATGACTTGGTGGAGTAAACGGTTGGCTGGACGTAATCCGCACGGTCTGTCCGTCAATTAGCTGCAATCATACAAATCTTCATGTATGTTTGCATTGATTTAGGCGATCCATACAAGCTGCCCATAGCTTATCCCGTATTTGTAGTGTCACCAAATTCTATAGCCTGCTGTAGTTAGTTCCCAGATTATTCGTGTTACCATTTCAAACACATCTCTGGCCAGTGGGTACCCACCTCACACCTGTTCTGAGGAAATTGGAACAACATGGAGATTGTATACTCATCATAGCAATTTATGTTTTGGAAGAAGCTATTTCAGTGTGCAAACCAGACTAGCGAATATCAGATTTGCCCTCGGAATTGGCCTGAGCCAAAACACACCGCGAGCGCAATGATGAGCCAGAAAATCAAATCACCACAGGACTATTGTATATTCAGTCTCTATTAGACGGCAAGATTGCGAACCCGTTGCCTTAATTCCTCGAGCTGCTGAGTGGACGTCTGCAGCTGTGATTGCAGGGCATCCACGCGCACAAGCTCATCATCCACAGCGCGGCGGTATGGCGCAAGCTCGGCGCGGATGCGTGTCTCGAGGTCAGCCAGGCGGCTCTGCAGCTCGCCCTCCAGCCCCTCCTCCAGGCGCTTGATCAGCCCCGCTGCTCGCTGCCTTATCTTGCCCTTCACCTTCTCCCGCCGCTGCGGGAAGGTGAGCACGTTCAGGGAGCTGTACGCATGCAGGTGGGGTGGGGGGAGGATGGGCGCAATGTGAACGGAGTGCCGGTTGTGTTGGTGGAAGAGCACATGGGGCTTGACCACGGCAATGGGCAGCTCACACTCATCAGCTAGGCACACCCTCCTGAGGCTGCTTCGAGGCCAACCACACAATGCAAGCCCCACCCTGTTGCTACTTGAGTGAGTGCAGGGCAGGGAGTGCAAGGAGGATGAAGGGTGCTCACCCGCCAGCAGTGCAGACGGTGAGGGCGAGCAGGTCCTCCAGTGACGACTGCAGCACGGCTGTGAGCACCGACGCCGACACCCCTGCCACGCCCAGCCCTGTCACCGTGCTCACCACCTGTGCCATGCCATGACCCGTGTTGTGGTCGTGCCGCACGCAGGAGGTGAAGACAGGATGGCATGGGGAAGTGAAAATGTGGTACCGTAACAGGGAAGGGGAGAGAATTGCAAGGCACGGCAGCAAAAGGTAAAGCTATGGAACGAATAGGATGGTAATAGAGGAGAGAGGAGGTGGGGCATCAAGTGGTCGAGAGTCGAGAGAGATAAAGGGGGTGCGGGCATGGTTGAGAGGGATTAGTGGTAAAGCGGGCGAAGAGAGATCGCGGACTAGTGGAAGGTGGATTGATGCGAGGACGAGGCGGGTCATGCAAGATCACGACAAGGGTTGCCATTCTTCGACCATTTCCCCCACACATTCACCAGTTTCCCCTGCGTCCAACTCTCTCCTCACTCACTCATTCTCTCCTCCCACACACTCCTCATCTCACCGACTCCCGCATTTCTTCCTCCAGCAGCAGGGCAGCAGCGCGCGGGCTGAACCCCTCCAGAATGCCAACCGTCTCGGGGATCCTCCCCTCCTCGCCCTCCCCCTCGCCCTCCTCGTCGCTGCCTGGCGGCAGGGAGGCGGGTGGCACGTCAGGCCAGCGGGTGCGGGCGAAGTCGCGGTAGCTGGCGAGCTGGCGGGCGTTGTTGGAGCGCAGCCACACGTGGTGCTCCACCAGCGCTCTCTGTGCCATGTGTGGTAGGGGGTGCGTGTGGCGTGGACGGATAGGTGCGGCACGGCAATCCATGGGCGCAAGGGAGGACAGGGAAGAGGGGGTTGTGGTGATGAGGTTTTTGGATGGGGTGAAGGTCGGGGAAGAACTGTAGTTGTATCGATGAGTCATGGCATGTCAAGTATGGGAGTGAACGCATTGGACAAGCAGGTAGCCAGGAGCCTGGTTCTGTTGTCAATACACACCCCAACTGAACAGGGTACCATGCAGGCCAGGCATGTCAGGCACGCCAGGCATGGCAGGCATGAGAGCAGGGCAGTGAGCATGTGGCAGCAGCACTCACGCGCACGTCAGCCACGACGGTGCCCACGATCTGAGTCTGGAAGCTCTTGCTCACAGGCAGCATGCCGCCACTGCCACTCGCCCCATCACCTCCGCCCCCGCCACCCCCTCCGGGCGGCGAGAACAGGTACTGCAGCATGACGTCAGCATTGCCCAGGCGCAGCGTGGCCTCCACAAACTCCTCCGCCCTGCCTGCCGCCTCCCGCACGAGCGCGGCCACGCGGGCGCGCTGCAGCAGCGAGTCCGTGCGCATGGCGGCGCCGTACCCCTCCATCTGCGCCTCCACCGCTGCCAGTGCCTCGTCGTCCCGCGCTGCCGCCTGCGCCTGCGCCGCCAGCTGCGCCTCGGCGCCCGCCAGCAGCGCCGACGCCACTCCCAGCGGCGTGTCCAGCTTCAGCCGTAGCCGCTCTGCCCCGGCGTCCGAGGAACCTTCCAGGAACTGCTGGATGAAGATCTCGAGGGCGGCGAAGCCTGAGGCCTGGTAGGAGGGGTCGTTGCGCAGGCGGGCGGCTGCTGCCTGGGCCGCGGGGTCGCGTGGCGGGAGGGCGGCAGCGGAGGAGGAGGAGGCGAGGGCGGGCGAGGGCGCGGGGGGGAAGGGGTAGGGCGCGTTATGGAGGAGCTTGGCGGCGAGGGCGGGGCGCGAGGCGAGGGGGAAGCAGAGCACGGTGTCGACGGCCAGCAGGCGCTTGACGTTGGCCGTCACGAACTCCTGCACCTCGCGCACGTCGGCTGGCGAGGAGAGCGAGTCCACCTTGTTGAGCACAAACACCACCTTCTTGCCCCACTGCCGGATGTACCGCAGGAATGACACCTGGTGTGTGGAGGGGGTGACGCAGCGAGGGAGTGAGGCAAAGAGGTAGAGATACGGAGGGATGTTGTGGAGGGCCAAGGAAGGGTTGCAGGGATGCATGGGTGGGTGGGACGAGGGTAAGAGAGCAGGAGAGCAAGAGGGCAAGAGGGCAGACCTCTGATTCGGTGAGGGGGCGGTCAGCGGAGAGCACAAAGAGCACGAGGTCAGCCTGGGGCACGAACTCCTCTGTGAGGCGCTGCTGCCGCTCCAAGATGACGTTGGTGCCGGGCGTGTCCACCACGTTCATCTGCTCGCATGCCGTGCCCATGGAAAGGAAAGATGGACGGACGGGAGGGGGTTGAAGAGACGACACATGAGAGGCTATGAAGAGCAATGAGGGGAAGCAAGAGTGGATGTTTGAGATTCAGCCAGCAGCCATGAATGGCAGGCTGTGCAGTTGCCAGCAGCGACGGGTTCAGTGCACACCTGTTTGAGGAGGTCAGCAGGCAGGAAGCGGATCATGTGGCCGTCGGGGTGGCGCTGCTCCTCCACCGCCATGCGCCCCGCCACCGCCCTCGCTGCTGCCCTCCCCGCCACCGCCCCCCTCTGCGACCCCGCTGCTGCCGCCGACAGCGCTGCACTGGAGGCGGCCTGGGCGGCACGTGCGCGCAGCTGGGAGGCGGGCGAGGAGTCGAGGTGGCGCAGCAGCGTGATCTCGTTGGTGGTGGGCACCACGCCCACCTTGAGAAACGCGTCCCCCAGCAGCGCGTTCACCAGTGATGACTTGCCCGAGTTGAACTCGCCCTGCCCGCTTGCACATGGTGCGTGTGTGGCGAGGGGGAGAGGGAGAAGGGGTGGCAGAGCGAGGACTGTGAGCGGCGAGGGCAGGAGTTGTTGTGAGTGAAGCGAGACGAGGGGCTGGGTGAGACAGCAATGCGCGGAGAAAGTGGACTTGCATGCAATGCACTGGCTCTAGAGGTTCAGCATGGCCAGTGTTGGTGAGAACACGCGTGTGATGATGAAGGGGAACTGAATGGATGATGATCTCATGGGTGAGCACCGAGTGCATGGCGGCACGGAGGAGCACTGACCACGACAACGACGAGGAATGGTTCCCCCAGGCGCGCGAGTGAGTCCTCCAACAGCTGTATCTCCGCCATCTGATGGCGTGCCACGCCACGCCATGCCATGCCACGCCATGCCATGCCACGCCATGCCATGCCATGCCATGCCATGCCACGCCATGCCACGCCATGCCATGCCATGCCATGCCATGCCGTGCCATGCCGTGCCATGCCATGCCATGCCATGCCATGCCATGCCATGCCGTGCCATGCACACACAGGAGACAGCATGGAGCCATTGTAGGCACGGAGTCATGTACGCATGGAGACACAGGGGCATGCAGGCACAGGGGCATGCAGGCACAGGGGCATGCAGGTGCATGCAGACATGTTGGGAAACCAAAAGGGCCAAGAAATAAACGTGGGATGGGGGGGTGACACATGTGCCATGGTGCTCACATCGGGGCAAGCAGCTCACATGTGCCATGGTGCTCACATCGGGGCAAGCAGCTCACATCGGGGCAAGCAACTCACATCGGGGCAAGCAGCTCACATGGGGGCAAGCAACTCACATCGGGGCAAGCAGTACGGAGCAGGGCGAGCAGCGAGGTGAGCAGCTTCCTCTCAGCCTTCATGATGCGCCGCCCCTCCACGTCCAGCAACCCCCGCCCCTCCCTGCCCTCCCCTTCCTCCTCCACTTCCTCCTCCTTCACCTCCTCCCCCTCCCCTGCCCCCTGCACGCGCACATCCTCCCCCGCCACAGCGCTGGCAGCAGCGGGCCCCGGAGGCCCTCCCACGCCAGACAGCACCTGCTCCACCTCCTCCCTCCCCTCCTCCTCGTCCCCACGCCCGCTGCCCTCCTCCCCAGCTGTACCTCCCACTCCCATGCCCACTTCCTCCCCCTCCTCCTCATTCTCCCCCTCACTCTCCGTCTCACTCTCCCCCCCCGCGCCTTCCCCCATGCCCTTGGTGACCCACCGTGCATCCGCCATGGCGCCCACCACGCGCCCCACCGCTGCCCGCATCGCCCTGCTCTCCCCGCCACCTCCCACACCCCCTACTTCCCCTGCTCCTGCTCCTTCCGCTCCCTCGGCTGCTTCAGCTGGTTCTGCCGCTTCCGCCTGCAGCAGCGAGAAGAGTGAGACGGCCACGCCAGCAGCGCCGCTGCCCATGACGCCGCGCACCCACTGCACGCCCTCCCCCCCTGCCCACGCGCTCCCCTCCCCCCGCTGCACCAGCACAGGGATGCTCACCTGCCGCGCCCTCACCTGCGCCACCGCCGCCGCATCAGCGGAGGCTGCACTACTGGTAGCGCCCACTACTGGCACGGCAGCGGAGGGCGCGAGGAGAATGAGGTCGGCGCCGTCAGCGGTGGTGGCGGTGACTGCGGCGGCCACGGACGCCACTCGGCGCGCCACGAGTGGCAGCAGCGGGCCCGACGCCGCACTCTCCATCATGCGCCGCGCCGCCACTGCTGGTAGGCCTGGGGGATGGGCGCACGCATGGGGCGAGGCGAGGGGCCAAGGGGCAGAGGGGCGCGAGCACGGAGAGAAGCGGGGAGGCAGAGGGTAGAGGAGGGGAGTGGCAGAGATAGGCGTGAGAGGACGGAGGGTGAAGGGACGGCGAGAGGTGTGGCGGGATGCCACATAGGCAGCGGGTTTCAGAAGAAGGGAGAGCGATGGGGGCGGATGAAGGGCTGTGCCCAAGAGAGGCGAGGGCTGTGATCGAGCATGGGTGCAGCATGTGTGAGGATGGGTGCAGCACGTGAGAATGGGTGCAGCATGTGAGGATGGGTGCAGCACGTGAGAATGGGTGCAGCATGTGAGAATGGGTGCGGCATGTGAGCATGGGTGCGGCATGTGAGCATGGGTGCGGCATGTGAGCATGGGTGAAGCATGTGAGGCATAAACCATGCGGTGTGTGTGTTGACCTCCCCAGCTCCCTACAATCACACTCCATGTATAAGGCCACGTAAAAGAAGCCGTTAAAATCCCCTCGCTACTGGGACGCGCCATGTGCCATGCCATGCCACCATGCGACCATGCCACGCTCATCTCCCCTCGCCCTCTCCATCCCTCACCCCTCCCCCCACGCTCATCGCACCCCCTCCGCGCGCCCGCATCGCACCGTTATCGGACAGCAGCACGCCATCCGCGCCGGCAGCGGCGGCGATATCCGCGCGTTCCGCCACGAGCAGCGGCACGCGCCCGCGCACCACCTCCTTCACGGCGCACGCCGCCTCGAACAGCTCCATGCCCGCGCCGCCCGCGCCCTCCTCCCCCACCACCACCATGGTCGCGCCCCCCGCCACCGCCGCATCCACCGCCTCCGCGCTGCCCTGCGCCCCTCCTCGCAGGACTTCCGCGCTGGTCAGCGTCAGAAGCAGCGCAGGCAGGCGCACCTCCGCGCGCTTTTGCCCCGCGCGGAACGAGCCTACCGCCACCGACCCCGCGGAGCCCTGCCCGCCCGACGTGGTCGCCGCGACGCGCACGGCCCCTCCAATGGTGCGGCGCGAGGGGGCGGATAGGCGCGTGGCGGGGACGAGCGGGAGGCGAGCGGAGAAGAAGGCGGCACGGGCGCAGGAGAGGCGCGCTAGGCGGGGAGGTGCAGCTGTGAAAATGGCAGGGCGCGAGCGAGTCTGTGTACTGGGACCAGCGAAGCGAGCATTCACGAACATTTGCGAATCTGTGTGTTGATGACTCGTGGCGCACACGACGCTCACTCGCGCATCGCGTAATAGTAGAGTGGGCGCCATTTTTCGTATTCCGATTAATGAGTGAAATCAGACGGAGAACGGAGAGAACGGGCCTAGCCAGTGATCATGGCTTGGCATAACTGACGGCAGTGACGAGTGGGTTGAGAAAGAGGCGGCGAGGTTGGATATCGCACGGATAAGGAGGGCGAGGTGGATTCGAAGGATTCTGCCAAATCCACTTCGGTATTGGGACGGTACGGTCAAGGGATCACAATGCTGGACTCGTTAGCATGAATACCTCGTGTCATTCAACATGTACAAGTTGAAGAAGCGGACCAAATAAATGAACAACTTAATCAGAACAAAGTTAAGATGCTTTAGAATATTTACAAGGTTGAAGAACATATTAATTGTATTTTCCAAGAATATAGAAACATATACAAATATATATATTATTTGTAACAAGATTTTCATGCTTTACAATGATAACACAGCACCACATACAATCTGGACAGCTAGAATAGTAAATTAACTAGGCCATGACTGAGGAGAGTGGAGAGGAAAGGATGGCAGTGATGAGATATGAGTACAAGATGGAAACCTAAACTAACGTACCCTCTAAGGAGTGCCTCACTACAGCCTAGCATAATTAAAGACATTTATAAATATACCGGTATGTTATGACACACCCCCATACGCGAAGTAGGGGACAAGTGGTTACAAGACCAGTCAAGAAAAGCAAACAAGTAAAGCTCGGGGTGGATCACGAAGTCACCACACAGTCCGAGCACAAGCAAATGGTCACAAGGCCAGTTTACATGAAGAGTTATAAGAAAGTACAAAAAGTACAGTGATCACACCCTAGCAAGAGTAAACAACCAGGTACAGATATAATGATCAAAGTACAAGTGTCATGCAGTAAGCAAGCGAGGCAGAGTAGGCACAGAGCAGTGCAGAAATGCTGATGATCACCAGACACAAGTGAACCCTGTGACAACCGCTGGGTCGCCTGGTCATCTGCCCAAGAAGCGTCTGAGTGTCCAGTGAGTACAACTGAACCCCGTCCTCCAAGCACGAGCCCCATGCCCGATGTACTGCACAAGAAACGCAGCGCCCTCCTAGCAGCCCGCCAGTGCTCTGGTCGGTGTCTCCCAGGCGCAACGTAGTGTGCAGGATGTTGAGAGGGCACGCGAGGTCAGGTCGAGTGCAGGTCATCAGGTACAGGAGGCAGCTCACAAGCTCTGGATACTGACCACTTGGCTAACAGACTAGTCCGAAGGTGGAGCTGATAACGAGTGGCTTGTAGGAAGAGGAGTAGACTGTGGCGAGGAGAACTGGAAGCCGAAGCGCTGAAGGACCTGGTGCACCATGTGTGACTAAGTCAGAGTGATGGTGCGCCATGCTCTGTCCCGGGTGATCTGCAAGCCAAGATAGCTGCACAGCTCACCAAGGTCAATGTAGGTATGTCTCTTCTGCAGCTCCGACTTCACAAGGGCCAGTGCCTCAGTGTTAGCAATAGCATAGACCAAGTCGTTGATGTACACGAGGATGTAGAACGGCGGCAGAGAAGTGTCGGTGCGTAGAAACAGCGACGGGTCAGCAGTCGAAGGAGCAAACCTAAGAGCCGCAAGTGTCATCCTTAGTATATCGTGCCACTCGCGAGGCGCCTGGCGGAGACCGTAGACTGGCCGCTGGAGGCTCCACTGGGTACCCTCAGGAAATGACTTAGTGAAGCTAGGTGGGCGGGGTAGCCAAATATCCTCGTATAGGCTGCCCTGCAATGAAGCTGTGCTGAATTCAAGCGAGTGGAGCTCGTAGTCACGCTGTGCTGCAACGTGCAGTAACACCCGAGGAACACGACGACCAGTGCGAACAGCGCGAACAGGCGAGGCAGGACGAGACGCAGGCTCACGACGCTCAGTAAGCGAGTCTGTCTGCTCAGTGTAAGGAGAAGGAGCAGGTAGTGGGGAGCCTGGCTGTAACGGGAGGCCAGTAGAAGACGGGAGGCTAAGAACCTAGCGAAGTATTGAGTCAGGCGGTGGCAGAGACGACGGTGACGGCGGAGCGAAGAACAGTCGCGGCGATGCAGCACCACCAGCACCAGTATCACAAGCACCAGCACCTCCAGTACGAGTACCAGCAGCTCCAGCGCCTCCAGCAGCTCCAGTGCAGTCCGTAGCACCACCAGCTTCGGTAGCTCCAGTACCTCCAGGACGAAAACCTCCGGGATTAGCAGTGCCAGTACCACCAACACCTCCAGCACCAGTACCACCACCAGCTCCGACAGCTCCAGTACCCTAGTACCAGCACCTCCAGAGCAGCTCCAGCTCCAGGGCCGTCAGCCCCAGGGCCTCCATCGCCAGCGCCTCTAGCTCCAGCGCCTCCAGCTCCAGAGTCTCCGGGACTAGTAGCTCCAGCACCCTCAGTACGAGCACCTGCGGGACTGGCAGTGCCAGCACAACCAGCACCTCCAGCACCAGTAGCACCACCAGCCCTGGCAGCTCCAGTACCTCCAGTACGAGCACCTCCAGGACCAGCAGCTCCAGCTCTTCCGGGCTCCAGCGTCTGCCGCACTGCCTCCTGCTCCAGCAGCGCCACTCCGAAGGCAGCAGCGCTGAGCGTACCACTCGCGCAGCTGCTGTGGTGAGAGAAGACCTCCAGTACCTCCAGTACGAGCACCTCCGGACCAGCAGTGCCAGCACCACCAGCACCACCAGTACTGGCAGCACCACCAGCTCCGGCAGCTCCAGTACCTCCAGTACGAGCACCTCCAGGAATAACAGCTCCAGCTCCTCCAGTACCTCCAGCTCCAGTACCTCCAGCACCTCCAGGACTAGCAGCTCCAAGGACTCCAGCTCCAGCAGCGCCACTCCGAAGGCGGCAGCGCTGAGCGTACCACTCGCGCAGCTGCTGTGGTGAGAGAGGCTCTCGTAGTGTAGAAGCAATACCCCTAGGCTCAGCACCCCGACTCAGCACCTCCAGGCTCCGCACCTCCAGGCTCAGCACCTCCAGGCTCCACACGCTCAGGCTCAGCACCCCCAGGCTCCGCACGCTCAGGCTCAGCACCCCCAGGCTCAGCACCCCCAGGCTCCGCACCCCCAGGCTCCACACGCACAGGTTCAGCACCCCCAGGCTCCGCACCCGCAGGCTCAGCACCCCCAGACGCAGCACCCCAAGCAGTACCACGCCTAGCAGCACTTGAGTCACGAGTCACCTCGACAGGCTCAACCAAGGGGAGTGGGTCTACCTGAGACACACCTGAAGGAGCAGGACCCTGAGGGGGGAGGGGGTCTACCGGAGGGGGACCTGGAGCGAGGAAGAGGGGAAGAGACGATAAAAGGGAACCGACTCGTCAAACATGACGTCCTGAGAGGGGAAGACACGGCGCGAGGTGGGGTGGTAAAACTGCCAGCCAGGCACGTCAGGGACAAAGCCAAGGAAGACACAGGGAATGGCGCGGGAGGAGAGCTTGTCCGCGGAGGTATCGCGGACAAAGGCACGAGCGCCCCAGACCCGGAACACCGACACATTGCCAACCTTCCCCGTCCAATGCATTGTAGGCGAGGTCTCTGGCAAGGAGACACGGGGCCAGAGGTTGAGCTGATGCGCAGCGTACCGGACCGCAAACGGCCACAGAAAATGGGGAGCAGCCGCATGGATCATGGAGGTACAAGCGACCTCCATGACTAAGCCAATGCGGCACTCAGCAACCCCATTCTGCTGCGGGGAGGCTTGAAGCGTGATTGACTGGAGGGTGCCCTCCCCATGACAAAAGTCCCGCAAGAGGTCGGAGGAAAACAAACCGCCTCTGTCAGAGTGCAGACGCAGGACAGGGAGGTCCGACTGGAACCGCTCGCGGAGCTGGAGACGAACAGCGCGGATCCAAGGGATCAGAACACCATGGACCTCCTCCTTGCTGCGCAAGGGGAAGACCATGGTGTAACGCGAGTAGTTGTCAACCGCCAGCAAAAAGTACCGCTCGCAGCCCTGTCCCTGGACGCGAGCTGGGCCCCACACGTCCATGTGGAGAGTCTGCAGGGGAGCAGTCGTCGGGGGAAACGAGGAGGATTGAGGAGCGGCGCGCTGCCGCCCCTCAACGCAAGGAAGGCAGGGCGGAGCAGGCGAGCGCGAGAGGGGGGGCAGAGACCTGGGATGGCCAGAGACAAGGAGGCGAGAGTGCATGCTACGGAGGCGTGGCAGGGAGGGGTGACCAAGACGGTGGTGCCAGAGGAGAGTCTGGTGTGAGAGGTGGCGACACGAGCAGGGGGCTGCTACGAGTCCTGACGCGGACACTTGACAAGACGCAGCTACATGGGGATGCTCAGTAGTCAGTGTGCACAGGTTCGACCCAGGCCGACGGGTGAACGTGGCCAGGTGACGGCCCGTCCGTGCACACGTGCAGATCGCCACATGCTGTCCTCCAGGGGTAAAGGTATCAACCCAAGCATCCTGAAGGACAGCATTACTCACTAAGCTCATAGAGAACGAGGGGAGGTGAAGACCTGTCAGTGAGCCAGACGGAACCGCCGGACACGGAAGAACAGTGGAGGAACGTGCAAGGACTAAGCCCCTGAGGGGTCAGCCAGAGAGACTGCAACAGGTGCAGGGAGTGGTGTGACTGTAGTGCTGTCGCGAAAGAAGCAGCGGGAAGCACCTGAGTCAAGCATGAAGGTGTGCAAGGCCTCAGCAGGAGCAGTACCAGAGAGAGCAGACTCACTAGCACCTAGAGCAGCAGCCTCTAATCGAGGGTCAGGGGGCACACACAGGTAACAGTCACCCTCAGTACTACCAGTCAGAGCATACATGGCAGTAAGGATAGTGTCATAGTCTAAAGCAAAGATATCCACCTTGTTGCACAACAGCTCTAGCCAGGGGGGAAGCTCAGCCTCGTTGCCAAACACTGCACGCCAGGCGTCGCTCAGATAGGCGAAGCAGCGAGCTGTGTGTGACCAACTGTCCCGCAAGTCTGACCAGCCCGATCA